GTTTAGCTAGTACAAATAAATGTACCCTGTGATTGTCCACACCAATTGTCTCTGCTTAGGCTGTCTTTTATTGTTTTTTTCACTGTACTGGGCAAGTGGAAGCAGCATGATAAAGTACACATCAAGGGAATGAAAATAAAGATTTTATATATGGAATGACTGTGGTCAAGTCTGAATTTAGATCTCAAGTCTATTCAGGCCAGTTCTTCAAATGCCATAAACTTGTGTAGGCCTAGCTGAATCCAGTGTCACACTAATTTTTGCCTGTTGAAGGTCTGGACTTACTGGACTGAACTATAAGTACAGTCCCCAATGGTCATGGTACAGAAACTGGCTGGGGCCCAAGAACACAGAGGGTTATGAATACGTAACAAATTATAGGGATGGACATATGGCACACCCATTACTGCGGTGATTTTGCCCACACACTGCACTTACTGTTCCCTCATGGCAAACCTGAGATTTCTGTACCTCCATCACCAAGCAACTTCCTTTGTGGCTCAAGTAGGGGCATATGTCCCAGACTAGTTTCTTGCAAGTGGATCCTCAAGGGACTTACTGGCCATTTGGTCATTAATTCATACCTCCTTTTTCAGAGTCAGAGTGAGGAAAGACAATGTCACAAATACCTGTACAGGCAACTCCTTGGTCCCATGGTGTTTAACCCAATGACCAAACATGGACTTTCACATCTTGCTCCTGTCACACCAAATGCCACCTCTTGAGACAACCACCTGCCAAGTTTCATGTTCATTTGACACACACTTCATGGCTCTGTATCTTCCTTGGGATTTTTAATTTTACTGACTTAACACAAGTAGTAACAAACAGGATCTTTAGCTACCAACAGGAACATTAATTCCTCCATGCAATGATGGGACAGCTTCAAACCTTTTGTAATGCAAAGAATAGAAACCAAGGAAAATCTTTGTTTACTACCAATATTTCACTTTCTGTGCTTTGGCAAGTGTACCTCCATCATATACTCATCCACCTGTGTGCCACAATGAGGCCAGCCCCTTATCAGAAGCATGCTAGCCCTGTTGTTTCTGATCCCTCCCAATTCTCTGATTACAGTGGGTATTCCAGAAGTCTTTGTAAGTCATTCCATTACCTGTGATATCTGGTCCCCTTGGATGATCCTGACATCACAAGTATGAAATAACAGGAAAACTGTTCTTATTACAATTGATTTTAACCAAAAACGGAAATGTCCTGCCTAGCTGACTTTTCGTAAAGCATCACCTGTGGTTTGCAAGTTGAAATGTCCAGGATACAGGACCATGTTTTTGTATTTAATCAACATTGCAAAGTTAAAGATTTTATTTAAAAGAAAAATAGTAAATGGCACATCATGTAATTGCTATTTATTTTCATAAACATGAGGTATTTCAAAGTGCTATAAGACGCAGCACTAAATGTACATCGTTGGAAGAAATCAAACACAGAACTTTGCAGTTACCCAGTTCTATGCACCAAACATTAACAAATACATTAACTGGAAGAAACAGGCTAGGAAAAGGCATATATAGTAAATTTCTTTACAAAAGTTTCTTAGTTCAAAAAAGTGATAAAGTAATATCTACTCAAAACTTTCACAACTCATTTTCATACGAAAATATAAGTATCAAATTTAGTTATGTATCAGCATCATACTAAAGTATACAGGCAATGTAAGAATTAGTACAGTACATAACAGAGATTAACAATATATTTGTATACAAAAACATGCTCCTCAAACATTGAGGTATTACAGTACTTAGGTATGAACTTCCAGTCTAATACTGGCAGCAAAAGCCACCTCTCATAACCCAAGACATGTACAAAAGGCAAGTGTGTAGATGGTATTTACAGAAATTCCCACAGGGGTACAAAATGCCAACCCCTAAAGTAACATCTGTTAGAACATAAGCACCATAAAACTTAGAAATGAACATTTTAAAACTCAACTAGATGTCATCAGCAGCTCCAAATGCTCACAACAATTAAACAAAAAAAATCCCCACCATCTACAGTTCTTAAGAAGAAAAACAAAGGCAGTTCTTTGTTGTTTGGTAGTCTTGCAATAAACTCCTTGCAAGAACATCCATTTGCTCCGTACCCGGATAATATAGTTTGTCGATTACTTCAGGGACTGGATTGAAATTAAAACCAACATTCTTAACGTCAAAAAACACAATTTTTTTAAAAGAATCAAAAATGTGCAAAGTGGCAATGACTGTCCTGGTCAGCCAAAAAAAAAAAAAAGAACCAAAACAAAAAAAAAGTTTAGCAAGTCCTCTTGTATTCTATTTTCTTTAGCAATTGTTGTTGTCTGGCTTGCAATTTTTCCTTTTCTAGCAATAATTTTTGCTCCTCTTCCTGAAGAGAATGAACATATTCAGTGGCTTTTTTCAAGATCACAACTTTCACAGCTTTCTCATTTTTAACCAGTTCTGGAATATGGTCCCTTAGTGTGAGGAAACTTGACCGTAGATCATTACGTCGTTGACGCTCCAGGATGTTATGGTTGCGTCGACGTTCACTATCCTCTGAATCAGAGTTTCGAGGACTTGAACTCTTAGGCTTTGGTTGGATCATGGGTTTCACTGGACGGGGCACCTCGGTTTTTAACTTTTTCTGCGGTGGAGCTTCTTCAGGCTCCATGTATGGAGAAGGAGCGGCATAATTATGCTGCTGGTGAATTGGTGCGCAACGCTTTAAAATCAGTCCATTCTGCTGTGTTGTGACTGATGGAAAAGTAGTATTTTTAGTACGCACTGTAATAGTAAGGGTGGTAACAGCCTTGTTGGTGGAGGAGCGTCTTTTCTCCACTGTAACAACATCTATTTCTTCTTCATCCTCTTCCTCCTCATCTTCATCATCTTCTGGTAATAAAAAATGGAAAATAAATTAGATGTTATTCTGGCTGAAAATACTCTGACCAAGTATGAATCCAGATGTATTTATTGACAAAATATATCCAGTAAAAGCAGTAATAAAATAACTGATGGCAAAACCAGGGTGTGCCCACCATATGTAGTCAGATAGAGATCTGTAAAAGTAATGTAATGCACACGAAATGAGCAAAGAATAGTGATTTCTGAAAACTTTTTAAGTTTAATGAGGTGGGTTTTTTTAAGCACGTCTGATTTTTAATCAAAGCAGGGCTACCACCCACATAATCACAGAGGCAGAAAAGAATTTTTAGGTAGAATGTATGTATTTTGAATGGAATCGTCGAGCTGCGACACAAAAGTCAAGCACAGAGCCACAACACAGCCCCTGCTTGGTAGAAAAGCAGCCGGAAAACGAAACAATCGCTGGGTTTGTTCTGAGGCAGAAGGTGAAGCTGTTCCAGCCGGGGACCCTTTAAGCCGGCGCTTGGTGCACTGCCAAGAAGACAGCTGTTGGAAGTGCTTCCTCACCCAAAGCTGTCAAACCAGACATTAAAGGGACAGCAGGCTCTGAAACCCGGGACGGATCACCAAGTTTGTGGTTGTGGTCATAGGGACCAGCTCATCCACACAAGCCGAACCGCATTTCAGTCCAAGTGGACTCCTCTGCGTGCAAGGACAGGGGACGTTTTGGACATTTTGGGCTCTGTCAGTACAAGCACTGCTCTAAGGGGTCACTAGCCCGGCTCCAGTCTTCCCAGATCGCGCCTGAGGGCACACGCACACGGTCACCCCCATAAACCCCGTGCCCAGGGTGGCAGTGGCGGCCCGCACCGCCCCCTCCGCCCCACGGGGGGCAGGACACGGTGAGGGAGG